GGCGGGGCGGGGCCCATCTTAAAGGGCCCCGACGCCCCATCCGCCTATGCAAAACCGGCGTGACACAATTTGCCCCCAACTTTTTATTTCTCAAATTTTCAAACCTTGGGAAAAGTTGAAAGAAGTGTAGAGTAGGGAGGGCAAAAGGGGTATAGGAGCACATATGTATGGTGACGGATGGAAACTAGACTTTTGGTGGTGAACACGATGCAGTCTATACAGGAGCCGAAATATGATGTACACTGAAATTTACACAATGTTATAAGCCAATGTGACCTCAATAAAACAATTTTTAAAAAAGAATAGTAGAGTAGATACCCATATGCCTGCCATCGATTGCTAATATTTTGTCACATTCAAGAAATCTTTCTCTGTATATATAAAATTTGCTCAACCATTTGAGAGTGGACTGAAGTCATCGTGACATATTAACTCTAAATACTGCAGACGTATCTCAAAAGAAAAGACATTATCCTACATCACCACAATACCGTTATAACACTCAGGAAATTTACCATTTATTTAATACTATTATCTAATATGGGTCCTTTATTCAAATTTTTCCAAATCTCCCAAAAATGTTCTCTCTGTTTTTCTTTTCTTTTGATCCAGGATCCACTCCTCACACCATACACAAGAATAAACTCCTAAATGATGAGGACCTAAATGTGAAAAATGAAACTGCAAGTATTAGAAGAAAGTATGGGTGAATTCCTCCATAACTTGTGCGTGGAAAAAGGCTTTCCAACTATGACTCAAAATCCAGATGCAGTAAAAGATGAATACATTTGACTACATAATTTTCTTTACCTTTTCATGTCCAAAATACCATAAGCAAAGTCAAAAGACAACTGGAAAACTGGAAGAAAATATTTACAATATATATCATAGATAAAGTGCTAATATCACTAATATATGAAAAATTCTTTAAATTCAAAGGGGGAAAAAATGTGAAAACCAGATAGAAAATATGGGCAAAACAATATAAACAGTTCATGAAAAAAGATGTAAAATGATCCTTAAACTTATGGAAAATGCTCACTTCGTTCACCATAAGACAAATGCAAATTATAGCTACATTGAGGACAAAATTTCATAGAAATCTGCACTGAAAACCATGAGTGCGTGTAAAAACTGGTGAGGTCTGAATAAAGTCTGTAATTTAGTTAAAAGTATTGTATTAAGGTCAATTTCTTGATTTTGATCATTGTACTCTGGTTATGTAGGGTGTTATCACTGGAAGAGAAGCTGGGTAGAGGCTGCACAGAAACTGTACTACTTTTCAAAAAAAACTACTTCTCACCTATCAGATTAGAATAAATTAAAAAGCTTGACAACATATTCTCTTGATGAACCTGGGGAAACAGACATACGTACATCACTGGGAGGTATGCTAAATGGAGAAGAAGTTAGTAATGTCCAAAAAAATTCGTATGCTTTTACCTTCTGACCCAGCAATCTCACTTGTAAATATTTATGCATAAAAGTTATTCATTTCAGCACCGTATGTAATTTTACAATATTAGAAACGTCCTAGTGCCCATTCATAGGAGATGCATTAAATAACTGTGGATCAGCCCCTCAGTGGAGTACTCTGCAGCTGTAAAAAAGAAAGAGGAAGTTTCCTACCAACTGAATCAGAGTGATTACTAAACATAGTGTTAATGGGAAAAAGCAAAGTACGAGAAAGTATATATAGTATGCTATCTTTTGTGTAGGAAAGAAGAAATAAAATTTACTTGAATCTTCTAATTTTTGCAAAAGAAACACAGGAAGGATAAACCAGAAACTAATGAAATTGGTTCCCCAAGGAGATATGAGGTGGAAAGGTTAGGAGAGAGAATGAAGCATCTCTGAGTAGGTATATCTTTGTGTATAGTTCTGACTTTTGGAGATGTGTTGCTATTTTGCATACTTAAAAAAACTCAAATCGACAGGAAATGGAGAGCCGGCCCCGTGGCTTAGCCGTTAAGTGAGCGCGCTCCACTGCTGGCAGCCCGGGTTCGGATCCCGGGCGCGCACCGACGCACCGCTTCTCCTGCCATGCTGAGGCCGCGTCCCACATACAGCAACTAGAAGGATGTGCAGCTATGACATACAACAATCTACTGGGGCTTTGGGGTGGAAAATAAATAAATAAATAAAATTATAAAAAAAAACAGGAAAGGGAAAATCCATTAAAATGAATACAAACAGAAACAAATGAACCTGACTTATTTTAAATAAATAGTATAACCACACTGAATGAATCTTAAACTCTATGTCATAGGTGTTTTTTTTCAAAGTGGTATGTTTCAAAGTTTCAATTCTGAGACTCTTCCTGTGTATTGTAGCATTGAGCAAACGAATAAATATGATGCTGATTTGGGATCCAGGTTTATCACTTTAGGAGAAGAGAAATATGGAAAGCTAGAAGCCTCAGAAGATTATTGCAGTATTGGGCTAGAATTGGAGGTATCGGTAAACTCGTGGTTTTTCATATTTATACATAGAAATCTGGAAACATATCTACGTGCAGATTTCCTAGCTCTGCCCACTTAAGAGGTCGCAGGAGCAATGACACCCCAGTGACAGTGAGCACACTCGGTTCGCAGATCTTGGTTTCCACCTAAGGGAGCCCGGGCTCCCAGGAGAAATGGCTGACTCCAGGGCGGGGACAGGGAAAGTACAAGATGAGCCTGGAATGTCTTGTGCCCAAGAGCAGGAAGGTACTCAGGGAAGAATGGAGACACATCAAAAGGGCCAGAAGCTGGCTTGAAGGGGCTCCCACTGGCTAAAACTGGAACAATCCGAGCGTAAAAATAATGACAGTAATGTATTTAGAAGCACTGAATTAAACAAAACCCATGAGAATAAGGTGCCTCCATCTCGGACTTCCCAGCCTCCAGAACCGTGAGAAGTAAAGGTCTGTTGCGTAAGCCACCCCGCCTGTGGTATTTTGAAGTGGCAGCTGGATCTGACTAATACTCCGGGTCATATGGTAATTCTATATTTAGCATTTTGAGGAACTGCCAACCTGTTTTTCAAAGTGGCTGCACCACTTTACATCCTCACCACTGTACGAGGGGTCCATTTTCTCCACATCCTCACCAACTTATTACCTGTCTTTTTAAGTCATGGCCAGCCTAATAGATGTGAAGTACTCGGAGGGTTGGTTTGCATTTCCCTAATGACTATTGATGTGGGCATCTTTTCAAAAGCTTATTGGCCCTTTGTATATTTCTTTGGAGAAATATCAATTCAGATCTTTTGCCTATTTTTTAATGGATAATTTGCCTTTTTATTATTGAGGCATAGGAGATTTTTACATATGCTAGATACAAGTCCCTTATCAGATAAATGATTTGTGGAACTTTTCTCCGTGGGGGAGTTTTGAGCAGAGGAGGACGTGATCTGATTTAGCATCTTGACAGGGTCCCCCTGGCAGCCGTGGGCGACGGGGGCAGAAGCAGGGAGCAGCTGAGGAGTGTTCTGCAGCCATTGGGCGCTCAGACCAGGGTGGCTGTGGAGGGGGTGAAAGGCAGTCCGACTGGGGACCTCTAGTTTTTGTCATTCTCAGGGAAGGATCTGCTGAGGGAGTGGCTAGGATGGGCTGAGAGACAGAATCCAGGGGGTTCCAGTTTTACCTGGCCTGAGAGCCCGGAGGGAGGAGTGGATGCTGAGATGGGGACGATTGTGGGGGGAGCAGGATGGGGTGGGGGGAGGCCACTGTGGGAATGCAGAGACTGGTAAACGTGGCTGTGTGTCCTTCGGATGCTTTCGAAGCCTATGAAAGCGTGTCTCCACGGCATTGTTCCTTCCCCACCCTCCCTTGTGGCCCTCACGAATGAGAGCTGGTGAAACGCAGGGAGCTGTGGGGCTGCGGGGCCTGGGAGGCGCTGTCCCTTTCTCCTCTGAGGCCTGAAGAGATAACTGACAGCAGGGGGAGGGGCAAGATCAGGGTCAAGTGTGGACAAGGTCGGGGCAGGGTCTGTGCTCCTGGGGGTTGGGGAACAGAGGGAGGGAAGGAAGGAAGGGGCCAGGTCTTGGAGAAGTGGTCAGGAGGAGGCCACTGGGGACCCTGAGGAGACATAGAGGCTGGGCTGTGCTCTGAGGACCGCTGCGGCAAATCCAAGTAGAACCAGCCGGTGGCAGTGGCCAGCCTGGTGGCCCCAGCACCCCGGGAAGTTCCTCAGAAAACACTCTTTCCAGAAGTGCTGATGAAAACCACGAGATATGACCTCAAGCCTGTTAGGATGGCTATTATTAAAAAAGCAAAAGATAACAAGTGTTGGTGGGGAAAAGGGAACCCTTGTGCACTGTTGGTGAGAATGTAACTTGGTACAGCCACTGTGGAAAATGGTATGGAGGTTCCTCAAAAAATTGAAAATAGAACTACTATATGATCCAGCAATCCCACTTCTGGTTCTCTATCTGAAGGAATTGAAATCAAGATCTGGAAGAAATTTCTGCACCCCATGTTCATTCACAATAACAAAGATATGGGAGCAACCTAAGTGCCCGTTGATGGATGAGTGGATAAAGAAGATGTGGTCTGTCTGTCTATCTCTATACACAATGGAATATTATTCAACCATAAAAAAGAACGAAATCCCACCACTTACAGCAACACGGATGGACCTGGAGGGCATGATGCTAAGTGAAACAAGCGAAAGGCAAACACTGTATGATCTCACTTATACATGGA